TTGCTTGTACTGGTCGGTCCTTTACACAAATATTTCCTGAACAGTTTGCAGGTATCAAATGCTGATACTAGCAACATAAGACCTTTTTTTTCAGTGTCCCGTTTGTTGGATGCTTGCTTCTTTGTGTTGGCACTCACACAAGTATTTCTTTCGGGTTGCAACAATTCGTCACACTTAGGTACTGCCTCCAACTCAGGACGAAAATGTCTTCGACAAAAACTCTTTTCACAACATGAATGCCCTTTCACTCGACGGCCAAGAGGGAAGACTGTGCTGAGTGCAACCAAGAGTCTTTCTGGACGCTCAAACCTTTGAACATTGGTTATGTCCAACCCAACACGATGCTCGGTGTTTTTTTGTTTAATCTAGAGGTACCTTCCCCATTCTTTGCAGGGATTTGTCTTTCTACAAAACCTCCAGAAACTGAGGGAAAGCGGCCGGTTTTTGGAAAGAACGATGGTTGAAAGGAATGGAACAGGAATCAACCCCTAGATTTAAGGCTAGTTTGATGGTCCAGGTTCCTTCCAGTCAGGCCACGCGTAAGCCATAGGCTTGAGCCAAAAAATGCCGCGCGAAAATCCATCCGCGCGTGGCTTGCCGAAGGCCCGAGGCTGGAGGCACGGCGACAGATCGGAGGTTTGCAATATGGTTGTGGGTCAAAACAGGGCTCCTTAAAAGATACAGTTTGCCCAGTTGAAACGTGGCTTTTTCAACCCCCAAATAAAGCGAAACCACAATGCACAAGGCAATGTTCAGGTGTATAATGTAAGGATCCCTGCAAAACCTACGGTGCCTTTTTGTGGATGGTTTCCGCTCCACTGTTGTCTTTTTAGAAGGCTTTCTGGGTGTTCACCGGGGCACCAGGGTTTTGACCCATAGCCATATGGGGTCAAAACTAGGGTTACTCCTGTTTGGACCTCGTTTAAAGGCGGGCCCACCTAAACCATGGCCCAAAACGGGTACCTATATAATTACATACATATTATATATATATATACACATGTGTGTGTGTATGCAATGTATTTATATATGTTGTTGTGTTGGTATGGTTCTTCCTCTTGAAGAGCCAGATTGGAAGATGTTCCACCCCTACCGCCGATCGGCCTGAGTGGCTGATGATAGAACCCGAACGACAGGCTACGTAAACAAGCTGCATTTTGCTTTGCACATACTTTCATACCAGCCATCTGGACTGCACAGCTCATAGCAAGTGCCCGTAAACTACGACATTGTGAGATGAAGGCAACCGATCCATGAGAATTCGCTATCGTTTACTGCTACTTGTGCCACATGAGAAATGCTTGGAGAAGCTGCGTTGATTGCTGCGGGAGTGGAATGATAGGCAACCTCGCTACCATCATTAAAGATACAAGCCAACTTGCTTGTTTGCAACTGCGAAGTCGCGTGAGTGTCCTGCCAGTCGGCCTAGGCAGACCTCGCACATGTTAAACTGGAATAGGACTCATAGATGCATTTTTGTGTGTTTGTGTGTTGTATTGAATTGCTAGCAGCGAGCCCCCTTGGCAAGAATGTCGGCTGGAGTGGGCCCAAACATCAGCTTTTGGAACGGCCAGGCGTAACCACATCAAAGAAGACCAAGAAGAAGCAGGAGACCTCCAGCGAGGCGTGGACTTGTCTACCACAAGCGACACAATTGTTCCACCCACCTTCGTGAATTGGTCAATGATGCGTGCGGGCGAGTTGCCTGAAGAACGATTTTAGTTTGACAAAACAAGCGCACCGAAGTGGTTGGAAGCTGAGCCCAGGAAGGCATTAGCTTGGAATCTACACCTTGCTGTAGCATAGCTTGATAGTGTCCTGCTGACAGCAACCGATTGTGAGCTTGTGATGAGACAAGTAAAAGATGACACTTGCCTGGGTCACATTGAATGCCCACTGAGTCTCTTCTTCATTTTGGTGAGCCAGTGTCCGCCATTGTTTGCATTGGTCTTTAGTTGGACTGGTTCGCCGCGTTGGTGTTGTTTGAGCCATTGGATTTCAACAGCTTCAAGAGTCGTTTGCTTATTTTGCGCATGTGAGTCATGCCCGTGGTTCCCCAGGGTTGATCCGATTAGACGTGTGCCTTGCAAAGCCGGCTGAATGATCTCATGGAGCACTTCAAAGCTATCACTTGGAGTGCTGCGTTCTATCCAGATACTTGACAGATGTTTGTTGCAAAGTTCGTTGGCAGCCTTCCAAAAAGGCCAAAAGACAAAAAAAGGCCGGAGGCTCCTTCAAAAGGGCCATGGTGTTTCCGGTTCCTTGTCAATTTGGGCAGGTTTTTTGATTTCTTATGCCGGATGCCGGGAATGAGTTGTTTCTTCGCCAGGTCTCAAGCTCCGCGAGTCCGTCCAGCGCGAGCAAGGCAAAACGGAAGGCGGGCAAAAGGAAGGCGGCGAGGGAGAAGGAAAGAGAAAGGAAGGAGAAGGAGAAGAAGCAGAAGGAGAAGTCAAAGCAGAAGAGATTGCAGTTGGAGAGGGAGAAGCAGAAGAGATTGAAGGAGAAGACACAGGAGAAGAGATTGAAGGAGAAGGCAAAGGAGAAGAAGGAGGAGGAGAAGAGATTGAAGCAGAAGGCAAAGGAGAAGAAGCAGGAGAGGGAGACGAAGGCGAAGGAGAAGGGGAAGAAGAAGGGGAAGGAAACAAAGGTGAAAAGCACGAAGAAGACGGGCCACACGCCAAAGAAGGAGCATGGGCTTGAGCGCAAGAGTAAGAACACAAACCCAAAAAACAAGAAGCAGAGGAAGCGGGAGGAGAGCGACCAAGAAGAAAGCGACCAAGAAGAAAGCGAGCCGGCGGAAAGCGAGAAGGAGGAAAGCCAGGAGCAGAGCGATCCGGAGGAGGACAGCAAGAGTAGTGTGAGTGAGAATGACTCTAGCGATAGCGAGGAGGGTGAGCAGAAGTTGAGGAAAAGGAAACGCAAGAAGAGAGAGGAGGATAGTTCCCAGAAGCCACGGAGGCAAAGCAGCAAGGCTCAGGAGCACTCGAGCTATGAAAGCAGTCGGATTGGAAGCTCTCCCAGCCCAAGCTCTGAGGATGAGGACTCTAGCTCCTCATAGCACGATGCTACACAACGGAGGCTCGCTCCGCCAATCAAGGAGACTCTGCCGAAATTGGGTGGTTTGATATGCCTCGCTGGCTTCTGTGCGCGATTCCCATGTTATGGGAGTCAGACCGTCCCAGTTGTTGTTTTTTGTTTATGTTTTGCCAACTGCAACCGTGTTCTTTCCACGTTGGCACATGATTGCCCCTAGCAACTAAATTACACTCTTTGAACATAAACATCGGCATCCGTGGTGCCCAAAGTCAACAATTCAGCTGCTTTTGTTGACCTTTGTCAGTGAAGCCTTTGCAGAGCTGGTTTGACTATTTTGTTTGCCGCTCCTCCTCTCCTTGGCAGCACGTACTCTTAAGGGCCGAGGCCACTCGTGCGTGTTCATGGCACAAGATGGGCCAAGGACGGCTTGTGAAGTGTGGAGCTGCTAGGTGGCAACAGGATAAATGACTTGGACCTCTTTGCCATTTTGGCGCATCCCTCCGCTCGCATTCCTCTCCTACACAATCCTTTGCCCTTTGAAACCCCCTACCAACAGGGTTCTTTTCCCCGCTTTTGCGCGCGAGGCTCAACCTGAGCCGGGATCCGAGGTCGAAAGACCTGGGGAGTAGTCGGGGCTGGTCAGCAACATGTGCCTTGAGCAACCATCCCCTTAGTCCACTTGAAGCGGAGAAACCAACCAGGTTGCTTGAAGAACTGAAACATGTGAGGAGCTAATCAAAACCTGATATTAACATGGTCTATCCAGAAACTTGTAAGAAACTGGAAAGGCAGCAGCACCCATGTATGGCTGGGATTCTTTTGCTAACCTTCATCTGGGGTTCTCATTGCGGCTCATGTGGGGTGCGTGTGTATTTCTTTTTCTGAAAAGCAGCCTTTCCAGGCTGAAATTTTCCCAGGTTTTCACCATAAGGAAGCCATCCCATTTGGACAAGAGCCATTTGGGGTGCTGGTCATGAACCGAGGGAAAAAAATCGGACGGCTGTAAGACTTCCTCCGGTTTAATTTGAACCATGTCTTCCAAGTGGCTCAAAGGTATGGAGAATTGAGTCAGGCATCTTTGGAGGGTGGCTAGGTCCCCCAGCTAGGTGCCCCTTTTACTGTTTCTTTTGGGGGAGGGTTCCGCTACTAAAATAGACCTCCGAGAGAAGAAAGGGTACCCTTACTCTGACCTCTCTACTGGAGGACCTAGGATGGAGAATTGAGTCAGGCATCTTTGGGAGCGGCCAATTGGGATGCTTGGCCAATGCTGATTGGCCAAACCAAAGAAAGGCCGTGATTCCAAGGAGCTGGCCCTCTGGATTTGGCAAAACTCGGATTTGGCCTCGGTGGCATATGGCGGCCTGTGGAAGGAAGCAATCTAAGGGTAGCTCCCCATCTTTCCAGGGATCATTGGATCCTTCTTTCTAGAAAACCACCAAAAACCCTGGGAAAATAGGTGGTTTTTGAAAAGAACGAGGGTTGAAAAGAATGGGGAATAAACACTAGAAACAAGGCAATTCAGCAAACAACTCCCTCACAGCCATCCAACAGGCGCCATCCAAATCCAATAATAATGCCCCCTGAATGTGCGTTACAGCCCTGGTTTAGAGCACGGCAGTTCTGCGCTGGCTTGTACATAGCTAGGGCCTCCGGATGGAGCTACGCCGAAAAAGAGAAGCCCCAAGGAATGCGGAGCAAGTCACGTGCAGGGGTCCCGTATTTGCGAAGTGGCTGGATTCATGGATTTGCGGGAAAGGTGGTTCGGATATTCGCGTTGCCACTAGAAGTCTTTGCAGATTGTTCAACCTGCATTGACGAAGTATCACGATGCACGAGCGGCATTTCAACTCGCCACTCCTTTTCGAGCCTTGCGCCTCCCTTCAGAGATGTGGTCCGTGGAATGGTTGGGAAACACACGGCAAGCCACGTTCAAGAACCAGCGGGCTCAGTCATGTTGGGCCATGGGCTGGTCTTGGTAGATATTTTGACCCAAAACACACGGTTGCAAGAGGGAAAAGACTTCTCACGTAGGTGAGGGTGAGCCACTCCGCCAACTTCGAGCTGCGAAAGTGGTGTCTGCTTCATCCCGCTCTGGCCAGAGGGTGAACACCGCCCGCCCGCGCCACGGACTTGCGGCGTCAGAAAAGAGCCGCCGAGTCGGCCGCAGGGGGGGGGCACTTTCTGCTGAGGTCGCGGCATGAACAGCTCACTTGCCCAAGGCCGGCCATTGAACCTTTGGGTTTTCCCAGTTGGCTGTGGGTCAAAACCAATGGGCTCCAATTTTGGGGTAGGTGCACCACCTATGTTAGAACCTAGTTTAGTGGTTGGATTGGGATGTTCACTGGGGGCTAGCAAAGGATGTTGAAGAGCCCATGGCTTTGGTCAAATTTCGGTCATGGGCCCAGAAGGTTATGCTTTTATGTCCAGGTCCTTTCACCAAGGGCATCGAAGCATGCCTTTGAGCCACCAGGGTGAGAGGAGGTTTCATTCGCGAGATCGCACGCCAACAGTTCAAGGGGCTAGGTGAGCTCAGCTGAGCAAGTTAGAAACCAAGGAACGGAACATGTCTATGAGTGCTATCCTGGAGCCGCTGAATGGCCTTGAAATACTTGGTCGTTTCTTGCCAAACGAGGCACGGAGTTCAGAAAGCTGCGCTGGCTGCGGTTTGAGATTCCCTCGGCTTGTTTCCCTCGGCGCGTTCCATCAGAAGAAGCGGTTGACATTTTGCCGTCAAGGCCACAATCATCAGCAAAAACCAGAGCCGGTCGACGGAAGCAGGTACTGCCCAAGGGCTCTTCGTGAACTGTTGCCTGATGTGCCCTCCCACCAATGAACATGGAGCTGACGTTCGGGGGTGTCCTGGCTTCCATTTTCTTTCTAAGTTGACCCCCTGGTTCCATGTTAGTTGGTGGGAGGGTATCACCCTGCTCCCTTGGCCGAAATATTTGCTGCGTCCGCCGGGGAAGAACCTGGCCATTCTCACTGCCCTCTTGTGGCTTCAGCTAGACGGGTCCCATGCGCCTAGCGTCGGCTTAGGTGCAGAGTTCAGGCACGTAGCGACACAGCTCGGCCGAGAGAGACTCAACCCCCTGAAAAAATGGTCGATCCAATTTGGATGATGACGATCTTTTGGTAAACAATGGTGGTTATACCCAGAAAACCTGGTGTGGAGAATCTCCGCTTTTTGCCGTAACTACTGAAATTTAGTCGTTTCCATCAAAGAATCCCTTCTTCTTCAAAAGCTCGCCCAAAACGATTTTGTGTCCGGGAAAAAAACGCCTCTGCAAGTTTGTTGCATACACGCAAAAAAAGTTATTGCCTCGAGGCAAAAATATGATGACCTTTCCTGAAAAAGTGGTTTTCCATGAAAAGGCAGAAAGAATCGGACTTAGGAAGACCCAGGTATGAAGCTCTTTACAGTTTTATTCAATGGTGATTTGAACCTCAGGGTCATTGCAAATCAGTGCGATGTTGAGTATACGCCTGATGTGAGCTGATGAGAAGCTTGTTTCTGAGGATGTTGTTGATAGCACCTGTGAAGGAGCATGGAAACAAAGGAAGAGCTGATTCTCGGTGACTTTCTGTGGCGGTCCCTCTCTTTGCAGCTCGCAAAGGGCTCAGACGCTCCGCAAGGCCAGGACATGTGCGTGTCCAAGGAGCAGGGTAGGAAGCCGAGGACCGATCCGATGCACTTGAGATGCTGCGTCTAATGATGGCTGTTCTTGGGAAACATTTTTAATTTTTGCTCGTTGTGGTTTAGTGGGAAATTCTCACTTAGCTGCTAAGACTTAGTTTTTTGCTCCCCTTCCAACGTCAACCGAGTGGAGAAGGGTGGCGTTGCGCTTCAAGTTGCCGAGTCATTCGGCTTCATTTCTTGCCGTCTACGCAAGAGGCGCCGAACCCCTTGCGGTGCCTCGAGCCGGACTAGGGATTTGCGACGAGGGATTGGTGACTTTTCTGAATTTGAACAGGTACCATGCGGAGCCAAAAGGCGGAAGGTTCAAAACGATGCGCAACTCTATGAGACATGCTTTTTGTGTGAAACGCCATTCCGCAAGCGCGTGCCTTTTCCCTTTCGTGGCCAAAGCGTCTTTCGTTCTCTCTCTCTCGCTCTCTCTCTCTCTTTCTCTCTATCTCTCTCGCGCTGGTCAAAGCTGAACATGTCGGCGCCCAGTAAGCAGACACGTGTCATTGCGGGTAATCTTCCCTTCCAATCTTGATACATATCTCTGTAGCCGGCTGCCTAGCCCGCCAGCAAGTTAGCAAGGGAAAGAAGGGAGATTGCCATTGAGCCATTCTTGGGAGTGATTAGCAATCCTGGCCATCCTACTCTTCCCCAGTTCTCGCGATTCCCGACTTGCCTAGCTGGCGAAGTAGCTAGCTAGCTAGTCAGCTAGAAGGTGTAAGCAGGTTTTGAAGATAAATCATCAGATGATTTACTAGCAAGTTATTTCGAATTGCTGGTCGGCTGACGAGCAAGTTCGCTTGTTGGCTAACCTAACTATCTACCTAGCCAGCTCCTTGCTAGAGTACTGCGTAGCCACTCCCAATTCACGGTTCCAGCCGCCTATTTCACGGCTCCGGCACACTATTATGTAGCCTCGGTTTGTTTGTGGTTTTGGGAACTGCTGGCCAGTTACCAAAATAGTAGGTAACCAAGCTGGTTACCAACTATACAGGTAACCGGAAGCACTGGGAAACATAGACGCAGCAAGCCGGGCGTCTCTTTTTTGAGAGCACTCTTTGATGGTTTTCAAGGGAGACAAAAAGGACAACCACCATTTTGTCTTTAGGCGGAACAATTGCAATTTGAGCAGGTTACACCTTGTAAGGAGACTGAAAGGAAAACTTGCAGGCGCCATCTTGCCAACTTCAGCCAAGGTATTCCAGAGTCGAGCATCTCTTTGCACTTAACGATCTCGCCTATGGCTTGGGGATTCAGAATATTTCCCCATTCAGCAGTGGATGCGGTGAACCACTGCCATTGAACCTTGCCAATCCGGAACCATACTGTGGATGGTTACGATTTTTTTCGCACCGGTTCAGACACCCTATAATATGTCGCGACAAAACACACTCTGCGGATCCCAGTTACCCTTATAGTAGGTAACCAGCTCAAATATTCCTTTTGGTTTCTAGAGGGTCGTGCCATCGGTTCCCTATACATGTAGATGGATCCACTGGGACTGGTTTCCGCCGTGGTTTCTTAGGTGGCGAAATGGATTTCGTCGGCAGCAATTTTTGCGCAGGACGTTGACGCCGCCGGCTGGGCACCCGGCAGAGTTTGAGTAGAAAGGACGTGGAAGTCATGGGCGAGCGATAGCCAGAACGTTATGAAGAGTAGGAATAATATATATATATAGATATGGCCAGGGGGCAGAACCTATGGCTCCTTTTGGGGTGGATGAACATCCATTTGCCACCCATTTTGATGTTCGCCAGGGGTACGGGATTTTGACCCATGGTTATATATTAAAGAAAAGAGCCTCTCTCCCACTAGCATAGCAGCTGTGGGAAGGTACCTCAAGATCAAATTCCTCTTGGAAGGGCCCCCCCCCCCGGTAGGTTGCATATCCAGACTGTCAAATACACAGGCGCCCCGTTTGGATATACAATTTGCTCTTCGTGCTGACTGTAGTTCATGTTCGCTTCTCTCACGGGGGCACACACGAAATGAAGGGGAAAAGGGGGAAGTCGTCCTTTGCCCTGACGGCCCCGTCGATGGACAGGGAGAACGTGGCTGTGGCAGTCCGATGGTCCGAGGTGTTGCCACTACCACCTCTGGGTGAGCGCTTCAGGCACTCGTGTCACGGAGCGATTGGTGCCCCCTACTCCAGATACCCGGCCTGTTTTCAGGGGAGTACTGTCACAAATGGAGATTTCCAAAATAAATTCGCGGCTTGAAATCATGGCGCACACAAGGCGGTGTTTTGGAGGTTGTGTGCAGAAGATGCTTCTTACGACGACAGCTTTACCACACACTCGCCCAGACTGTTGCGGCCGGGTCATGAAATCAGTCGCGCTCTCTTCCTTGTGTGGACTTCTTCACCTAAGAGCGCAGTAGGTTGAGATATGTTAGTTGCTTGGTTGCCCTAGTTGGCACTAAGAGTCCCTGACACGTGTCAGTTCTAGGGAGTAGGTTGCCATTTGACAGCTTCAATGACCAACGTGCTTTAATTTTGGCCAGCGTTGATTGGAAGGGCGTTCCTTTCGACGCAAGTAGGACTCTGCCCTTTGCACTTGATGCGTTGCGGTCCTTTGCAACATCGTAAACAATATGACGAATAACCATGTGACAAGGGGTAAAAAGAGCACTCTTTGCAGAGAGCAGTTCTAATACCATTCCCCACTATTTGGAAAGCCCGCTGTTTGCTCACCAATCTGGATATGAGCCAGGTTCCTTCGACTGCTGACTCAGGAGCGCGACAACACGCGGTTGGGCGGCCCAGTTGGTAACACATGACCAGGATTGGGCGGGACATGTGAGTAGGACTGCCCCTCGCTAGTGGGTTCTGGGCCCAACAGTGTTTATCCGGGAAGTACCTGTTGCACCACGTTGGATGCATTTGTACTGCTAGATGGGCCAAAAGATTCACAGCGCAACGCATCGCCGAAGGGAATGGCCCCGAAAAGGTGTTGCTTGTGAATGTTGCGCTCGTTCCAGTCTGAGGCAAGCTACAGTATTGTACGGACAGGCAGGTTGCCGTTGTATCTCTCCTAGTAGATAAATAGGTGTTGTTTCAGACGCTGGGCTATCAATTTTTGGGGGTACTGGCAGGCAGTGTCCTTGGCAAGGGGGATGCCTGTTGATGTGGGACGCTGTCCGCAGCTGCGTTGTGTACATCTTGCATTGCAGGCTTACACGTGGTAGCCATGCCCACTGCAACCGGTCCTTCTTTGGGGAACCCCTCCACTTAAAATTATACAGCAGAGTCTCCAACAAGATGCATTGCTTGACGATCGCTGGGTAGACTTTAACCCAATGAGTGTTGATTCGCACAACAGGGATTTTGCTGGACATGGCACCTTGACTTGCTGGTGCTCAGTAGGCAAGACTTCCAGGTGTTGGGAATGAACCCAGGGTCCCCTTAAAGCAAACCACCAGTTGGATGGTTTCCTTTAAGGGGTCATTCCATTTCTCATTCCCTGCATCTCTCGCACCAGCAAGGTGAGTTTTTGTTGGTCAAGGCGACCATTTCTGTTGCTGTCCCGCTGAGGATCGAGCTCTACGAAGACCTTGTACAGGGCTGCAAGGCCGAATCCATGGCCCGTTGCCACACATCAAGAGAACAACCAAACCATAGTTTACCTACTTGCACAAAGCGAATCGAACTTTTAACCTTTTGGTTTCCCTGATTTGGTCCATATTGAGCCAGGTCCCAATTTTTTATACTTGTATTTCCAGGTGCTTCGGGGAAGTGAGTTTATAGTGGCCCTAAATACTTGCTCGTCTCAGTGGCTTTTGCACAGCCCACAGCCAAATGACACGATCTGTCCCAAACAATCACAACCCAGGTCATACATGGGATAGTAAGATTATTGGAGAAGGATGTCCATTCGTTGGTAGATATCCTTCTTTTCGCCCCCACCGACTAGTTCAACGGAATTTGGCAGCCAGGTGCTGCAACTGTCGCAACAAATCGGTGCCCAAGAAGTTACCTTCCAGGTTAGGTTGCCCACGTTGCCATGGAACCCAGCAGAGGTTCCATGTTGAAGGAAGATGGTCCAAACCAGGACCCCCTCTATCCGGTTCCATGATCAGGAGGGTTCCGCGCGTAAACTGGCACTCTTGGCCTTAAGCCCAGCTCCGGGAAACACAGGCGCTGCAAGCTAAGCTCGGGGAAACCCCAACATCCAATTGGGAAGATGCAACAGCTTCTTTGGTGCGGGCATGTCGCGGATCTGTGAGATTGGCATTTCACCAAAAAAGCAAGACGGATTGCGATGTTGTGGAAGGCTTAGTGATGACATCTCCATTGCTTCAGCATCTGTGAAGCATGCAAACCGCGAGCAGGTGGCCATGCTTGTGTTCACGGAAGTACAGCTTTGAAGAACTGGATGTACCAGCAGGATTGCTATGGGACCAGAACCATGCTGCTTAGGGCGCCGATCATATTTTTGTTTGCTTGAGCCACCCTTTCCGCCCCACACAAGGCGCCGAAGTTACTCATGAGAGTGTTTAGCAAAGGACTGGCAAGCCAGGTCGTGGGCAAGCGAATGCTCCGTACTTGGACATTGAACAGCCCGAAGGAGCTACGGGCCAGGGGCACGTGGCTTACCAGTTGTGGACTTGTTGCAAGATGTTCATGCATATTGGATGAGGTATTCATTCGCTTCACCAGTATTGTGAAGTGTACGACAGCTATTGCTTTGAAGTAGAGATGAATTCGTTGCGCGAGTTAGCAATGCTGGCAAGGGCAAAGCCAGCTGACCTGAAGACGGCAACTGAACGCCCCGCTGCTCTAATTGAGTAATTGGAAAATCCACTGCTTTGCCATTGCAGGGCAAGGGGGCTAGACACGATCCAGAAACCAAAGAGCCAAGCGCACATTCCTTCTAGCCTCGCATCACACCCTCTTTTCAATCTTGCGGGTGTCCAGTGGCCCATCTCCCGACATGAGCCAAAATCAAAACCCGGCTAAGTGAAGGTTAGTAGGGGACAATCCTAACCATAACCAGCCGCCCTCTGAATTCTTGAAGCATGGTGCTGGGTAGACCATTTCAATACCGGGTTTATTGTGACTCACCCGAAGCAAAGTGCCGGATGCTGCCACCCAGAGAGAAGCGCACCTCACGAGCAACCACTCAAGACCCTGCTTCCAAGTAAATGGCCATACTTTGCTATCTTGGTCAACAAGCAAAATGGACTTGGAGGGAATCCACGCAACAAATGTGTGTCATGTCCATGGTGATAAGTTGGTTGGTCCATTCCACACGGCGTGAAGCTCACAGGGAAGATTTGGGCCACTGGTATCTGGCTGCACCGTGGTTGTCCTCGCCAAGTTGTTGCCTTCTTGATCCCTCACGCGAGGTTTCCCATACTGTCAATCAGCTTCATGTGAATTGGTTTGCCTGTTTTAGGATATATAATGTTGCTCATTTGCCTTGAAGTTGTGTGAGGTTTGTCCGCATGGCGCTCTTTCACCTGTATTTCTCAAAAAATCGCACGCCAGTCGTCGGCTTGCTTGAAATGCTGGGAGCCCTGTTTACCGCGAGCCAAGTCCTGCCAGGAGTTTGCAGATGCCAACCCCGAGCTCTTGGAAAGTCCTTGGCAGGCCGCGGGTCATCGCTCGGACCCACATCTTTGAAGACTCGTAGTTGGGGTTGATGAAAAGGTCCGGTAAACCATGGGGTGACCAGGGAAACCACCAAGAAAGATACGACTCTCACCACGAACTGGGAAAAGATGCTTAGGAATATTGATCAACCCCCCGCGTTTCTTGGAATCTGGAACGTGTTCGAGCAATCCGAGTCCAAGTGCTACAATCCTCCCAAACCTGCGATTGCTCGAAACAACATCCATCATCCTCCATCATTATCCATAATCAATAATCATGACCATCATCAGAATGATAATAGCAATAATAAAACTAATAAACATAATAATGAGACTAATGGCAATCGTCATCATCGTGCCCCATCCAATCCAACCCCGATCCAATCCCAATGTAATGATTTCAGCCAGTACATCAACAAATAGAAAAATAGTCTCAACAATGGTTGGACTGCCAACATCATCCAAACAAATAATTCAGTCATATTCCAGGCCAAGGTCTTTGGCATGCCATTGGTCACCCAACACTTTGATGTTTGTGATTCATGAAGCCAGCATCGGCGGACCTTTCCAGCATCCACCCCCCAACCCCCCCCCCCCTCCCCGGAAGATCTCCACCCCCGGACAACAGCTTGTTGGTATTTTTCTCAACCACGATCTTTGGATACTTGATAGACGCAATCCCCGCTGCCTGAACCTCTCGAGCCATACTTATTTGTGTCAACACTATGGATACCTCGAAATTCTAGGCTTCCCTGAACAGAGTTTCAAAAAGGGGGGAGTTCCTGGGATTATATGACCAACAGCGTTTCATGACCGAACACCTAAAAAGATGACAAGGAAGCATGAGTTCTCGCGAGTCACGGATTTGTCCAGACCCCCAATCCAAAATCCAGTGAAGAGGGATGTGTGAAGCTTAATTGTTTGGTGAAGTGTTTGGCGGAATGTTTGGCCATGTGTGGTCCTGCGACATGGGTGGTGCTGTTTGGTCATGTGGCAGCGGGTCAAAACCAATGGTACCATTGTAGGTGCACCACCCATTGAAGTCTATTTTCTTCGGGGGGATTGGGATGTTCACTGGGGGCGAACCGGGATTTTGAACAGCCCGTGGCCATTTGAGCGCTCATTGGGACTACGAAACCGGGATTTTGAGAAGCCCATGGCCCATAATATATTATATATATATACATATATATATATATATACACACGTTGGCTGAGTGTATATTTCTTGAGGGTAATCTTTGTTTGGTGTTTGGGGGCTAACCGATTTGGATTTTGAGAAGCCCATGGCCATGTGTGTTTTTGAGACCGAGTTTCACACGATGTGAAAGTATCGCTATGCCCTAGGGGTAACTTCCAATTCCATTCTTTCCAGGGATCCTTCTTTCTAGAAAAGCCCATGGCCATGTCGCTTTCGGATTTTTTTTGAATCGCCAGGAACTCGAGCTGAGCCTTAGCCTGGGCGGCCGGATGGCTGGCGCCCAAGAGGATGGCGGGTTTTCGGCGTTTTTTTGTTGTTTTTTTCAGGAGGCGTAAGGCTCAAGAATCAAGAACATGTCAAAGAGGCGTTCTGCAAGGCGCAAAAAACCATGGTTTTTCAATCAAGAGTGTTGGAAGGGGTGGGCCCTGCAAGTCCAGGTTTTTGTGGGATAAATGCAACTGTACATGGGTTTGTGGGCTATGGGCCCCACATCTGGCTTTGGGTGTTTTGGTTTCCAGTGGCTTCAAACAAATTGAGTTGCTTCAGTTCGAGTCAGAACTGCGAAGCGCCTGTCTTTACCCTTGATCAACCAAAGCAGCTGTTGGGCGGATTCTTTTCGTACGCAAGCCAGAAGCCCACGAAGTTGTCGACCGCAAGCCAGAAGCCCATGAAGTTGTCAAGTCCAGAGTTGGGTCACGCACCCGCAAGGCTGAGAACCCAGTTGCCGGATTCCTCTCCGCTGTGTTGTCTTCTCCAATGACACTTATAGTAGCCTCCCTCCCACGTTGCTCGGCACCTGACAGGGAATTTGTCCTTTCAAGAGAAATTGATCTTGCGCTATGTCAGTAGGAGGAAGGGGAACTAGTTCGTGTAGTCGGGCAAGTTATGCTGACCTGACAAAAAGGCCTTGCAACCCCTCCAGTGACGAAGGTTCTCGTTTGGGGTTCACTTCCTGTTGCATGTTGGTGAATTGTCACAACTTCCCCAGATGATCCCTTCGACCCGGGTATGCGTCAAAATCGGGGGAGGCTCGATTTGAATGGCAGTCCTGTTTGTTGCCTTGAAACCTCCCCCAAACATGGTACTCTTACCACCAAAAACACCACAAGTTGGCCTCCATGTGCACAACAGAGGTTAGTCTCGGAAACGGTTTGGATGCGGTTTGCGAGCAAAAGAGTACTAAAAGAGCTTGTTTCAAGAGGAACAGCTGGTAAAACAACATGGGGCAACCACAGAAAGCGCATCCAATCCATTTGCTGGAGTCCGTCGGGGCCCTGGATGTCGGACCAAGGCACAGGGTGTGTGTCGCAGCTTCGGAGCTTTCGAAGACCATGCGGGGGGCCCCAAAAATGATGTGCCGGTGTGCTCAGTTTTGGTGAACCTCGGGGTGAAACAAAGAGTCGCTCAGTTGCAGATGAGCGTGCAATCCCCAAAAAGGTGCCCCAAAGGAGAAAAAGGAGATTGCTCTCAAGGGACGGCTTTTTGTGTTCCACGTGAATCAGGGGATGTAACTTGCTACTTCCAGATCTTGCGATCTCCGGAAGCGGGACCCTGCAACGAGAAGCAACAGGGAGCTGTGGTTGAAGTAGGGCCAGCTGCTTTTGACATCCTTCATGTTTTGGCCATGAAGCCTTTTTGTCCCTGACAACCGCTGCAAATGCTCGCTGCTTTCTGAAGACTGCTTTCTGAAGCCTATGGAAAGCCGCAAAAGAGGATGCTTGAGTCACTTCGTGGCTGCGCGGAATGCGCCATGAGCTGTGAAGGAGGGTTGCCTCGAATGTTCGAACCACTTTGAATCTCAATTTCAGCGGGTGAGCATGGATCGCATGCCTTCGTTGCAAGCAGTCAAAGACAGATATACGTCATCAACTCTGGTGTTAAACGGTCAAATCCACCTCTCACGTTTGTAATGAGCCTAAAGATCCCGCTGGCCGGACACGACGACCATCCCCAGCTTTGAAAGAGGCCGTAGCTTGCAGCTTCCTACAACTGTGCGACGTTAGTCACCCCAGAGGTTTTGCGGAACATAGGTGGACTGCTGCGTACTTCCATGGCACATGGCAGGCCTGTTATTTTTGGTCTACCAAACTGTTGAGCTATTGTGGCTGATCCTATGCAGGGATCGTTCAAAGCCCCTGTCCCTGCTGTTTCTAGTTGGTCTGGATTGGGGCCTTCTAATTGGTGCATCATGCGTGTGATTGGAACTAGTTCTGCCTGGGGCGCACTACTGGGGTCATTAGTTTCACTGTTTCTGGGGGTATCAAAGTCAGAACATGTGGTTGCGTCCCTCTAACCCACCACTTGGGTGACTTTGATTATTCTTGCCTAAGCATAAGCAAGCATGTCTCTTCCAGCCTGGCACTTGCTTGCGACAGTCCTGTCTTGTCAGCAACTTGCTGAGACAGCCGCGGAAGCCATTTTGCTTTCAACTGGGTGTGTATGTTTTCAGAGTACCCGTTCTTTTGGCGGTTTTGCAAGAACACCAGGACCATCACCCCATTTGGGTGGATCTAAGAACAGACACTCCCAAATCTATTGCGCAAGGTTTGGGCCAAACGGCATCAGACCCGCATCGCTTGAGCCGACCATATTTTTTTTCGGCAGAGAAGGCACCAAAAAGTCAGAGCGGTCACTGAAGCGTGCAAAGCGCCCCTTCTACGTCAATGCACGTCGGGATGCTGTACGCGTGAATCTATAGGTCGAGTGCTTTCGCAACGCATGATGTCTTTCAGAGACAATTAGGCAATGGCTTGTTGGATTGGAGTTGTGTATCTGAATGCATCTTCCCTGTTTTGTTTCTCCATGTTTTGATTCTCAGATCACAAGTGTCGCTTTTGCGTTGCACCGGGATTGCGAGTGCACATAATTTCTGCGGTTGCGATGGCATGCTGTGATTGATTCATATATCTCATGTAAGCTTTGGAGCCTTGGCTGGCCTAGTGAAGCTTAGGACATCATCCTCTTCATGGAGGACAGTCCGACGTTGCCTGATACCTGGCAAAACAAACAAGCAAGAATGAAAGGAGAGGCGGGCAGCCAATTCATTTCAGCCACTAGACCATTCTATGCGGATATTGGAGCGAGTAGATACAGAGCATTGCCACTGTTTGTAATACGCCACGCATCTGATGGGTGGGTGACTCTTGGGGTATGCTTTGCCGACCGAGACAGTCATGTGAGTGGTTGAACTGTCGCAGCTTGTTAAGTTCCTGGTTCAAAGGCGCATAGTATTGTGCTGCTGCCCGTGCTGGTAAACTTAACCACAGCGTTCAACACAAGCCAGGCTCAGCCCGCCCATTTGCATCGGAAGCCTCCCAATCACAAAGCGCTCAGCAGGCTTCCATTTGATTGGTTACCCCAAGGAGTGTAGCCCAGAGGTTTTTATTCGAACATGTACATGAACAGCTGAGTTGTTGCGTGCTTTCGGGGTATCCACACAGATAGGTATGCGTGCTTTTTGAGTGGACTGTCTTTTGGTTGGTGTTAAAGAGAGCGACACGGAAACAGGCAAACCATGCTGCTTCTGTGGGTTGCTTTCGACAGGAAAGGGGTCCAACTACCCAAATCTGGGATGTGTTCACTGGTGCGAGTGTTTTCACATGTTTGAGGGTTACAAAATACGGACCAGACTCAGATACATGATTTCTGGTTGGGGGGCCAACGCCGAGGTAATCTTCTAGTTGCTTAAGAATATGTTCTTTTTTCCCACTTGGTATTAAAGGGAATCTATCACTACTGGACATATTTTCATTTTTTCAAGGGGGCTTAAGTAATGGGTGCGTGTTTTGAGGGTCCCCTGCTGGGCCGCTCGCAGTACGTCCGCGGCGGGGACTTCCACGACCTCGCCAAGCGCTGCTCCACCGAGCCCGGGAGTGCGCGGGAGGAGCAGGCGGGGGAAGGCTGCGAAGCGGGGTGCCACCGGGGGCGGTGGTCCACTTCCGCTGAAGAAATGAGTTTGTTTGTGGTTGTCAAAACCAATGGGATCCCATTTTGGGGTTTTCGCTGCACCACCCATTTGTAGAGCCTATTCTAGTGGTGTTTGGGATGGGTACAGGATTTGTTTGGATTTTGACCCATGGCCAAATGAGTCTCCGATTCGAAGTGGACCAAAACCAACTTGGTGGGACTCGGCACCAGATTCTCACAGCCGGCCTCATCTACTTGCGATGCGGCATACTTGCGATTGCCTCCCAATTCAAACATGTCCAATATGCTGAGGAGCCCTTGGCTACATTTGCTACTCGCCACCTTCCATTTGCTTAAGAATATTTATACTTATTTCCTGTTGGTTTTCAATGAATCCATCACTACTGGAAAAATGTGTTTCTTTCGGCGGACTTATGCAGACGGAAGCCACGTTTGTCAACTGAAAGCCCATGTCACGCGGAATGTTGCATCTGCTTTAGTGTGACCTTGCACAGTGGAGCCAGTCACCGAGGGCCTCTTTAGTGGAAAACCTGGGGGTTTGGGTTCAACTTCAACTTCCCGCTTGCACCCTTGTTGCACCCTTGTCACTCACTGAAGGGGTGCTTTGGGATCGCTTGCAGGCGTGGCCCTTGATCCTTTCTCTCCTCAACGCTGCTGAGATCTTAGCTGCGCTTTGGTTGTTTGCTGGCCGCTTGTGGAGCCACTGAGTTCTGGTTGTTTCACGAATCAAGCTGCGCTTGATTTGGTCCTTCTTGCGGCCACAAAGGGGCCGTTGTGTGTGTGTGTGTGTGCCTGCAAGCACGCGCGTGCGTGTGCAACGGCGTGCAGGGCAAAAGGCTGCATTGGAACTGTACGTCCTGACAACACACGCTGGTTCACAACTGCTTGTGTGCTAACAAATGCCGTCACTTTCTTGCTGCTGGCGTGCATGTGTTGGCTTGCGATGTTTGTTCTCACGATCTGCCGTCAATGTTCGAGTGAGAGACCCGCGAAATGAGATCCCAAGCAACGGATCCTGTGTTAATCTGGTGTTCCACCCAAATTCATCACAAGCTCCGTGTAAAACCCGTCGGAGCAGCGATTGAGGAGCAGCAGCAGCAGCACCAAAGTACAACCCTCTCATAGGCGGGTACTTAAAAAAACGTGGGGGTTCCATGGATATTCATTCCACGTATTCAATCGCATTCCCAAATGTGAGCGCCCGGCACAACCTGTACTGAACAGTTGCGATTTTCCCGCCGGAGCTGCCAAAGTGTACTTCGCATGCTGCCCCTGTGCTGAAAGTCGCAACTTGCAAGCCGGAGCTGCCAAAGTGTACCTCGGACACTTTTTAGATGTAACAGGCACCACAGCCTCAGGAACGACAGGGGTAGAAAAGCAAAAGTCAAAACAACGAAAATCGCTACCCCATGCCTTTTGCTGGGTATACAAGCTGTTGTGCAGGTCTCACACGCCAATCGTCGCGCAGCGCGTCGTTGGATTTTTTCAAGGTTCGCGGCCTGCACGACCGCGGGGCCGAGACCTTGGGGGCAGAACCATCGGATGCTTGGATCCATCGCCGAATTCAGCGGCCCGGTTGCTGCCCTTTCTTTCCGGCTTTTTTGGTGCCACTCTGGGGGCACTTTGGTGCCCAGTGCTAAGGGGAAACTCTTTAAAGTCAACCAATGAGAAAAGGTGCCCGTTTTTGTCCCCCTTGTTTTTTCGCGTGGCCACTGACTGGGCATTTGAGGCCGAATTCTAAGTGGCGTCGCAGATGAAGGATCTATGCATTGAACGTATGGCGCATGATCAAGTTCAGCAAACAGCAAGATGCTTGCCAGCGGAAAACTGGCATGTTAAATCTTCGGGCCCTCACAGCGCAGGATGAATACAACAGAAAGAGACTACCAAGCCGTTGCAGATGGCGGTGTTTGCACACTGGCACACTTGGAGCCATGTCGAAGCTGTGCAATTGTGCCAGGTAACTCCTGCATCCCTGAATCGATGTCAGCGAACGGACAAAATCCACTTCGGATCAGTTGGTGGGTAGGTTTGTCCCAGTATTTATATATAGAGTTTCATCCCAACTGGCGCAGGATTTGTCCATCAGTGCTGCGATGTTTTGGGAGGAAAGGCTCAGTGCCAACCAGACGAAGCCCAGGCAGCGCTTCCCTGCCTCATGTTTGGTTCTTATCCCGATGTTTTGGAACCAACACCTGGGGCCGTGAACGTTAATCCCCGAATTAGTGACAGGCAGGGAACGACCTGGTTTGAATACTGACTAATAGCTTCCACTCTTGTAGAGGTTGTTGTTTTTAAAATAACATCGATAAATTCCAAGCTTGCAGCATATGCTGGGCAACTTCAATAGACTCTCAGCACACGATGTCCCACATTTTTCGACACCAGCGACGATCCTTGTTGCGACACTGGGATCAAGGTACAAACCATGTCTTACCTTCAGCAAAGTAGCCGCAGCTTGTTTTGTTCAGAATCGCTTTCCGAGGTTGCCCATGGAGATATCTCACTTGAGAATGCATTGCTGGGGGAAGATGCTGAGGCACAGTCGGGTGAATCGATCCTCGCCGTTTTCAGTTGCAAGTGTAAGACGCCACAATGCCAGGCATTTCAGGTGCCTCGTTCAACTTTGAAGGCATCAAGTAAATGTGGGTGTGTCGTTTCTGGGCACCGGCAAAATAGTGGTTTTCCTCTTGGTTTCCCTTTCAAACCACCCAAAAAGGGGCACCCTCAAGAAAAGACACAACTGTGTGTTCCTGTGAATTTCCAGATGGCATGGCGTTTGCTCAGCGGGTTCTCCTTATCCCTTCGACAAACCCCAAGGCCATTTATTTGCCCCGTCTAGCATAACAATAACGAATACGCTGACACCTTAAGGTTATGATGTGGCGTGGCATGAACAAGGGTGCTTCTCAAAAGTCAACAATCCGGCCCCTCCAGGTGGTTGGTTTGGTCGCGTTCTAGACATTTTGCCACAGACTTAGCTTAGCTGGTTGCCCTTTGGCTCTTTCGTGTTTCCTTCATGTCCCTTTGAACCAGGATCAAGTACACCCGCATTTGGCCTCCGCAAATGGAACCAAGTCCATCCGTTCCTTTGGAGCTTCCACGTTGAACTGTCTGGGGGAGGACAAACATTGTTTGGGGAATCCCAACCACTTCTCGCTATGTCAATTTGCAGGTGTTGCACGGGAGCAGTTCTGTCAGGTTCCATGTTACTTGGTGGCGCGGATCGATCTGTTCGGACGACATGTCAGGTGAGGCTGGTGGACTTTGCAGCTGCGGTTGCTTGGCTTTTTCAGCCGCTGAAGCGAATCCCTCGGGCCGTTTGTGTGTCTGCAGTTCGGAAGCCAAGGAGAGTCTTACTTTGCTTTTTTGAGTCGGAACCCGGTGTTTCTGTGGATTTCAAGGGAAACCAAAAGGAAAACCAAAGTTTTCGGGCCCAACTGACGGTCCAACCCCAAGACTCTACACATACACAGACTCAGGCAGGCAATGCAATGCGCTAAGGTCATGGGGCCTGCGCAAGGTGTCCGCGGTAAGCCCTCGTACCAGGCCAGCGGAAAGATGGGAGGAGACCAGTCCTTCCATCCCTCCATTTGCTGAGGTTGTTTTTCCCGTGCTTGGTGGCATTGATTAGGGCTACGTGGTTCAATGAAAACTATGAATATAAGTTGTAAATTGTGGTTGTGTTTCTTTCTTTCGGAAACTGTAGTCTTGGCTCTCCCTTTGATTGTGCCCGATGTTTGCCTTTTGCTTTTCGGATTTCTTTGGGGTGAAGTGTTTTTGGGTTGATGTGTTCACATGTTCTGCCTTTTGGGGGGAGGATGTTCCATCATTGTTTCGTGGCGGGGGGGGTATTCTTTAATCCTTCCAGCAAACATTTACTGAAGGTGGACATCAGCAGTATTCGGGGCTGGTTGCCTGCCCAGCAAGACAAGTTAAATTGGCGTGATCTGGGTTTCTGTTTCTCCAACAATGTCCCACTTGAGCGGTCTCTTGTCTCTCACGGCCAGTGCGCAAGTTTGTGCCATGAGTAGATTGGATGGAAGGTGGATGTGTGCGCTCTTTTGCTGCACTCAATGGCGTCACCGTGACAGATCTGAGCTGCGTTTTCCCCGTGGGGACACATGCCAAGCGCTATACTTGCCACATCGAATACTGCGGTTTCCTTCGGGCGGACGTGCGTCCAGAGTCGCTCAAATTTGGGCCCAGTTTGTCCCGGAACTTGAACATTTTGGGAGGCCTCAAACTAGATGTTCGGACCCCCTTCTGAATTGCCCAGTGAATCCATTTCCTGTAGGTAAGCAAGGGAATCACCCGACAGAAGAACTAAAGGGAGAATTGCTGGTTACTACTTACCTACTATAAGAGTAACTCGGATCCACTGGGTTGTTTTTCCAATGGGGAGCCAAAAGGAAGTCAACCGACTCCTATTTTTTGAGAAAATACCGGCGAACAACCGCATTCGCTTCTCAGGCGCCTGAAATGCACCAGCACGGGGCCTCGTGTGGTTCCTTTCAGTCATGACATGCGTATATAATATGATATATGATATTAATATATATATATATATATACACACATACATACATACATACATACATACATACATACATACATACATATATATATATATACATATATACGCATATATATATATATATATATGTATATATATATGTATATGTATGTACACATGTATGCTTGCAGATGTGCATGTTCCTGTGTGTTAGAGTCACCGGCTCGCTCATATTTGCCGAATGTTATACGTGTACATCACAGTAATGTGTATACATATATATGGTCCCGTGTTCCGTGTTGCTACCCCCCCCCCCCCATATGGTATGGGTCCCCCAGGAATTCCCCCCCCCCCCCCGAGACCCCGAGCCCCCGGATCCTGGCACCTACGGTCCCACCCCCACCCCGACCCCCTGAACTCGCACCCCGACACCCCGGCACCCCCACCCCCAGGACAAGCCAACCCGCAACCAACCATAAACCAACCCTAAACTAACCCTAAACGAACCCTAAATACCCCTAAACCAAACCCTAAACCGTAGACCTCTAAACCTAAACCAACCCAATCAACAATAAACCAACCTAAACTAACCCTAAACCAACCCTAAACTAACCCCAAATACACCCTAAACCAATCCCTAAACAATAAACCCTAAACCTAAACCAAACCAACCCTAAACCAAAAATACACCCTAAACCAAACCCTAAACCGTACACCTCTAAACCTAAACCAACCCTAAACCAACCCTAAATCAACATAAATCAACCTAAATCAACCCTGAACCAACCCTAAATACACCCTAAATATACCCTAAACCAATTCTAAACCAACCCTAAACCACCACAACCCAACCACAGGACCACAACCACAGGGGGGGGGGGGGGGGGCTGTGTACCATATATATATATATAATATGTATATCTCTCTATATATATATAGAGAGAGATACACGTAAGATCATGCAGTACGTGCATGCATTCGCTCGGCCATTAGCTGCAGCAATTGCAGTGGTCAAAACGCAATGCTGGTTTGTATCTTCCAACAGGCATGGGTTTGTGAGGGCACCAGAATTTCCCCCTGGCAGGTTTGCGAGACAAAATATCACTTCCCTTGGTTTGTTTGCTCGTGGATTTGGTTTGTGGTGATTGGAGGCACTTTACAGACTTGAGTCGGCCAGCTTCAGGCTCGAAGCAAAGCAGGTGTTGCCGCTCCTGTCAACTCAAGAGGCCAGCTCCAGACCGGCCCTTGGGCAACATATTTTTTGCAGAATGGGTGTGGACAACGGGACATGCGACATAATATGTTGACGCACACCCATCTGGGTAAGTTCTAGCGTCACCAAACCTCACTGTGAGTTCCTAGCAGTGCCACGGCCTAAGTCATTTCAGATCGACCTTTGAAACAAAGAATTCAACCCAACGACCCGGCCTAGGATGTATAATAATTCACCCAGACCCAAGCGACTCACTCAGCCCTCCGTTGGCTCTGCGCCCTTCTCTGTCCCTGAGGGCTGGGGCTGGCAGCTACGACGCCAAGGCAGCGGACCTGTTCGCCTGTGGGGTCGCAGCCTCAGGATGACGCGTCGCCCCCTTTGGCCACCCTAAGTATTTTTGCCGAGCTGGAGAGTCGCTGAGAGAAAAGCAGAGGTCCATGGTGGTTTAACTATCACCTTCTGCGCCCTTGCTCGAGCTTCATGTTGTGTTTTGTTAACAAGAGTGCCCAGGTCTTCATCTACGCGCTTCTCATTGCTGATTACCCCTGGAAGTCGACCAGGCCGGCTTTGGCCCCTTTCGCCCCGGGGCCCGCGGGGCTACGCCGGTGGTCTTGGTGTGCCTCACCGGTCAAACATTGCCAGCTGCGAGAAGCGGGATGCGGTATGCGGCATGGTCGGACTGGAGCATCCTTTGATGAGGGGTCAACAAGAACATCGTTGGAGGGAGTTCTTTCTGGGTGGGTGGGCAAAAGTGTCCAGTCTTTGCACAGAAAAGGATTGGAGATGACGCTTGCAGCCGGCAGTCTCGTGTGTTTTACACTGGGACCTTGCAATGACATTATGTTACGTTTTCAGGTTCACTAAGTATGGGCGCAGAAGTCGTTTTCAGTGGGCACACGCTAAGGCACCGGAGGGATTCAGAGATGGTTTTGCACTCGTACGCAGAATCGTATCCTTCTGCCATTTTTTATAGCGAGCTCACCAATGCGGGGGTAGAACGAGCTCACCATGATAAAGGTCAAATGCTTGCGCATCCCTTGAATCAGCTTTTGGAAGTGTAGTATTTTCTGCAAATCCTCCCTGAGCCACCAGACATCTGCCTGCGCGTGGCAAGCTCTGAGTGAATTCTCTGTGCATTGCAGCCAAGAAATCAAACATTTCCGGTCGGGCGGGGTGGGAAGATATGGGCGTTTCTCAAAATGGTTCCCCGTTTTAGTTGGTATTCAACAGCACCAACCTTTTCAGGAGACCTGTATTTTGAGAAATACCCATGTATACATATATATATATATGTATATATATATGTATATATATATAAGCAAATATATGTATGTGATCTCATTGGTTCCGTTTCCGACAGCGGTAGGCCCGGGACGTGCTCGGCCTTCGACTTCTATTCCTCTCAGGGCTTGCAGGCAGGACTCGAGTCAGGACATGCCCCGAGCTGAAAGAACGCAAACCGATGGGCCGATTGGGCTGTTTGATAGATATTCAGCCATTGATCGGGTGCGTTTACTCGCTGGTGTTTAGCGGGGAATGAGGGAATGCCCTATAAACCATCCAACTTGTGGTTTCCTTTAAGGGAATCCCTAGGTGCATGCCCAACACCAGGAAGATCATTCCCTGAGCACCGGCAAGTTTATCACCAATCGGTTTCCTCAATCAAAGAACGTTTAGAAGGACTTGATGAAAAGGTTCTTGTAAGGACGACTTACTTGGAGGACCATAGCCTTGCAGGCGTTGGGGACCACGAAAGATCCGAATGTTGGTTTGCGCACAAGGCTTCGCTAAGGCATGCTTGTACGCTTGCATATTTACAGGCCCTTCTCACGTGTAGACGGGGAGATATCCAGCTCCTCTACTGACTAGCTTGACTCGCGCCTGTGTTGAGAATGGGTCAGGCAACCCGCAACCTTGTTTGGGCCAATTTGGAGCAAGTTTCAAAAGGTTCCAGAAAGACCGACGAAAGCCCATGGAGCTTGCTGCGAGGTTCCGCGCAGTAAGTCCTCCGCACAAATTATGGTGACTTGCATTCAAAGCTGCTACAGGCACACGTAACCGGCATCGACGTTGTCGCGTTGAGTGCCAGAATAGCAGTTGCAGACCGCCGGTGTGGTAACCATGCCTGCAAGCGTAACTGCGACACCCAAATGGCTCCAGCGCAAAGAGGTTTTTGCTCCGGAAGCAGGCAGAAGCAATTGCCTAGGGCATTTGGCTCGGCAAGTCAAGCCACCTTGGTCGCAACGCCTGACGCAAGCAGGTGCAGAGCGGTCTCGGACCCTTGGATAGGTCTCGGACCGTCAGAATACGGTGAACAATTCGCAGACTTTCGTGGAGTTGACCCTCATTTTGCTTGCGCGACCTTTGGCTGAGTTCGGCGGAGTTCGCCTCTTCGCAGTTTTCACTTTGCTCGTGTGACCCTCTGACTTGCGGGTGTTCGTTTGAAGCTTGTGGTGTGGCAACTGGCTAAGTAGCTGCGAGCTGGCCAACTGGCTAACTGCCAACGAGCTAGAAGCTCACTCGCTGGCCAGTTTGCGCTCAGATTCGCAAACTTCACCTCACGCCGGCATTTAGGAGTGCCGTGCATGCGCATCACATCGATCCAACTCCCAACTTGGCTCCCGGCCATCCGGTCCAACTTGGCTTCTCAGCTTCTTCGTTTTCCCCTGCTTTGTGGTAGTTTCTATTTCACCCCACCAAACTCGGCATCCCCTCATTTCTCAAGTCTCAAGTTTTTTGGTGTTTCGTGGGGATGGTTTCCATTTCACCCCACCCAAAGCCACAAGGTTCTCAGCCCAGGGATCCGAAAAACGGTCCGCCCCTGGCGGGCCGAGGCTTTCCTGGCCCAGCGGCGGATCCGCTTCAACGGCTGCAAGGGGCCCGCAGCCCAGCAGAAGGGGCCGGAACATGGGGCCCAGGGTCAAACTTAAGGTGACCCCCACCTTGGGAACCCGAGGGGTAAATGGAAACCTGCGAACATGGACCAAGAAAACCTGCGGCGCATATGGAAGAGTTTCGACCCATAAACAAACGGGCCCAAAGGTCAAGCCGAAGCCTTGCAGCAGTTTTCCGAGGACACAAAACGGTTTGAGTCGCTGGGAGGTCGCCCCGAATCAAGCAGCCTGGCTCTCTTTTCCGGTGGGTCCGGAAAAGTCTAGGACGCTCAAAGATGTGTGTCAAAATCAGGCCTTCGAACGCTATGACACCAAGCCTCATTTTTGGTGAGCGGGTTGTTCAGGGACTCCAAATGCTTGGAGTCAGACCCTGAAAATAATCAGTCCGAAGGGTGCCTTGACTCCTACCTATTTGGTTGTTCGTTGTGTTAATCTTTTGGAAAAGGACTGTTTCCCCCACCAGCTTCAAGAGTTCGGGCTTAACGACTAACAGTGCCCAGAGACTTGAGTATAGTGGGTATATTTTTGTTGTTGGGACTTAAACCCCAGAAGGGATGCTGAAGGGAAATCCGGAGACGCCCACTTAGTTCTGAGACCCAAACAGTGCCCGAACCAGGGCACAGGGAGATGTGCCACCTGCCGCGTCAATTGAGGCTGTTGACGTTGGCTCCGGAAAGGCGTAGGCAAAGCTTTGTTGAGATGTGCTGCCCCTCCGATTCAACAGCAATGAATCAGAGTCAGCATGGGGGGAGAATGTATGCTAGACGCTGTAAAGTAATCCAGGATATAAGCTAGAGAATCTGTGTTCCCCCTAATTGATATTGAACATTTCACACCGAGCTGCCTTTCCATGTTAGCTAAATTCAACTGGGCCCATTGGCAAACCCCCATGGCAGCACCTTGGGTGTTGTTCTTGGGCTTTTCCTTTGACCAGAGCGCATCGTTTACACGATGTGTTTTTGCGATGATGATCTGAGACCGTTTCTTCCCTGTCGCCTTTTGGGACCAGAAAGAAGCTCAATCCATCGGCGAAACCTACGACGCTGTGTGTGTGTGTGTGTTTGCGGGGATGCAGTGGATGTGTCCCTCTTGAAGGTGCGATTGCTTTGTTGGAAAGAGCGGTGTTTCGCTGATTCTACTGTAAGCAAGGAAATCGGAAAGCGGAGTTGCTCAGCGGCTTGTTTGTTGCTGCTTTGAGTGAGGAGGTCCAATCAAAAAAGGGTGTGTTATTCTTCCCATTGCCACTACTTAAGTTTTATCATTAGCGACATTCCCAGGCCGCCAGTGGCGACGGCGCTGTCTCCGCGGATGACCCACCTGCGGAGTCGCCCAGTTCGAGACCAACCTGTTCTAAACGACATGAAGCGCATTGTTCCTATCGCTTTTCTGCAAAGAGCAGGAAATTGTTTGTGACAAAAAGAGGGAAGTTCTAGCACTT